CCAAAAGAACTTTTTAACATGAGACATTCCTCTGCAAGAAATGTCATAGAAAGATGTTTTGGCATTTTAAAGGCAAGATGGGGAATTTTAAAAGATAACTCGTACTATCACGCTGAACTGAAAAACAAGATCATAATGGCATGTTGTCTACTTCATAATCATATCAGGCGAGAAATGCCAAATGATCCGTTTGAGAATGATGGGTTAGACGAAACAACCGAAGATGATGGAGAACAAGAAGTGGATAATGTCAGTTCTGTTGGGACATCAACTGAGTGGACTGCATTTAGGAATAATTTGGCACAACATATGTTTGAGGCTTGGAATGCTACGCATTGACCTTTTATAATTTGTAACGCTAGAAGTTTATCTTTATGGTTTGTAATGAATTTGATACATATGTTGCATAGTATTATGATTAATAATGCTACAACTTGATTTTATGAYTTGCATGTTTATTTTACATGTTATTTGTTTATTATTTAATTTGTTTAACAATAGGTATGTCGGATCGAAGTCGTAATAGAAACTATCGAAATTGGACAACTATTGAAGATGCCAAGCTTGTGGAGGCCTTGGTTAACATGGTTAATACTGGGGGATTTAAAGCTGATAACGGCTTTAAATGTGGATATTTACAGTATCTAGAAAAGGTATTAAAAGAATCAATTCCTGATTCTGGTATATTGGGTAAACCGCATATTGAAWCAAGAATTAAAACAATGAAAAAGGATTGGCAAGTGGTCCATGACATGGTGAATGGGACAAATACGAGTGGGTTTGGTTATGATTGTTTGAAACAATGTGTAATTGCCGAARCACCAGTTTGGGAGTCTTACCTGAAGGTACCCATTATATAATTCATGCTATCTTTGTAGTTATTATTTGATATCTTTGCTATTTAACTTTTATGACATGAAATAGGTACATAAGGAGGCGGCAAAATGGAAAAACAAGATATTTCCACATTTTGAAGACCTGTCTACTGTTTTTGGAAAAGATAGAGCTCAAGGAAGTAGAGTCAGGGATGTTGTTGAGATGGAGGAGCAAGTGAATCTAGAAGAACAAGAACAACAATCAGAGGATACTGAAAGTAGCCATAATGTATATAATGCTACAGATATGCGAAGTGAAGAAGGTTCAAGTCGAGGTAGTAAGAAGAAGAAAACCCGAGTTGAGACTCTTGTTGACGGAATGCATAGTGCAGCTTTTTTACTTGGGGAAAAWTTTGAAAATGCATCGAAGAATATGGTAGATATGGAAATGGAGATACGAAACAAGACTTCCATGGTGAATTCTGAACTTTCAAAAATGCAATCACTTTCTAGAGTGGAGAGGTTCATAGCAGTAAAGAAGATAACAAGCGAGCCTGATAACGTGTTAATTTTTTGGAGTTTGGAAGAAACGGAGCGAGAGGAGTGGGTGAGGTTTGTGTTGGAAGGTTGATTTTGGTTATGATTTGACAACTTGAATTTGGGTTTTGGAAATAAGGTATGTAGTTAATAGTTTCAAATGTTATCGGATCTAGTATTTTGTAATGAACAATTTCAGATATTATTAATATAAGTGAACAATTTCAAATTTTATCTGATGTTAATAATGTAATTTGGTTTAATGGTAATTTTAATTTTTTTTTTTAAATGACAAAAAAAATCATAAAAGGTCATTTGTTGATATTTAATTCCGATTCCAAAGTTGAATTCCGTGAACCAAACAAAAAAATTCCAATTCCGTTAAGAATTTCATTCCAATTCCATGCAACCAAACGCAATCACATGACAAGGTCAAATTCCATCAGATTCCATTCCATTCCCTCAAAGTCAAATTCCTTTGATGAATTCCAATTCCATCGAATTCCATTCTACGAACCAAACGCCCCCTTAGATTCTTTACAAAATTATGGGATAATGGAGCTGAATTAGGTTATAGAAAACATGATTTTGCAAGCTATGTTTCAAATATTATTTTTTCAGTAAAATTGTCATGAAGATCAGATAATTAGTCAAAACGAGTACATTTTTTAGGATTATTTAAAAGAGGTTGAGTGGACGTATCAACGTTTTTTTGTTCTTATTTAATAGTTAGTTTGTGATGTAGTGGAAATCTCGTCTTCCTGCTCAAGCTCGTTCCTAATATTCTATAGGTCTTGGACGAGATGTAAAAAAGTGTCTTCGATATGTACGATCTTTTCCTAGTATATTGTTTTTATCATAAAAATATCATTGAATTAAAAAATTACTGATAATTTATATAGAACTGTTGACATCATTTTTATATACTCATAATGTACTCATTGACGCAAAATCAATCAATAATTATTTCTTAATTATTATTATCTATGATATCATTTTTATATAGCATCATCAATCCGTTACACGGTAAAAAATATCCTATTATATACTTCTAATATATAGATTGACATAGAGATGGATGTAGAAAATTTTCAAATGGTTGCACTATTTGTCTAAAGAAACAAGGGGGTGTTTGGGATTGCTTATAAAAACAACTTATTAATTTATTTCGGTGTGACACCAGTAATAAACACTTTTGAGTGTTTGTATAAACAGTTTATACCGGTGTCATACCAGTAATAAAGAATTTTTGAAGAAGTTAAACTATTCTAACTTATAATAAGTTGATAAAGACTTTTGTAAAAAAATAATATAAATTGTTTCAAATAAGTAATCCAAAACACCACCTAAATACAGAAATATTTTTCACAAAATCATCATTGGTTTGTTGGTTAGTTCATTGATTTTCATATGTAAGGTCTTGTGTTCAAGTTTTTATTGTATTTTTTTCAAAAACATAATAAATCTGAAATTAAAAACTAAGAACATAATAATAACAGGATTTGAACTCGGGTCTGGAGTGGAAAAAAAGTCTTGCAAGCTAACTCTACCGAAGGAAACTTCTGTCCTCATTATAGTTTCAAAATATATTCGATGACACATAACAAATTGATATAGTGACACTTTTCACGACCTTATAATTTTTCACGCTACGATGGAGAAACGAAGCGGTGGCCTATGCCACCACATGCACCACCTAGGTCCGTCCCTGGATTGACATCAAACCTCGGTCATAATATTGACTATTGAGAGTAGCACTTTTTATAAACTGTAACATCCCTAAAATAGGAGTAAATAGATATAGATGGAAACCATAAAAACCAGTAATACAAGGTTTAAACCAATGAAGAGTTCAAGCCGATTCAACAACAAGAAAATAAGGTCAATTATACGTCTTATGACGACAGGGGCAGACCCGATTTCCATCAATCTTGATTAAACACAAAAGTAATCCACAATTCTATTATGGAACATTGATCATCAAGCTCAATCACTCACGATCTGTAGTTCGAATCCCTCAATGAACTAAGATTTGCTCATTTGTTAGAACAAATCGTGACGGGTCACACGATTATCAAGGTGGTTTTTCAACCACCACAGTCTGTAGTTCAAGTCCCCTGGTGATTTAATACCCGTATCTAGCTATTTTAGAGAAACAAGTATCCCACCAAAATTTATAATCCGACTCTTATGCCAATGAATCCATTGCATTACAATCTAGTATATGTCACAACTTTAAAGTGACCAACTATAATCATACATATAGTTTTCATCATTTAAATGTCCTCATAAAATCTTTTAACACAATATTTACCAAATAGGAAAAACTTATCATAAACTCCCAATAACCATTTCTTACCCAAACTCAATACCATATACATCGTCTTTTCCAAAAGTTCACAAGTTCAAAAATAATCCTCGTGTACAAGTAATAATAATTCATCTTCCAAAATATAACCATTTTTCATGAAATGCTTCCAAATATGTAAATATTAAGAAGAAACGTAAATCATGATGTTCAAGTTCCAAAATAACATCTACCTGCTTAAAATACTTACTTGAATATTCATCGTTTTCTAGTAAAAATGGTTTAAAAAGACTCCCAAATCTTCCAAAATACCCAAAACTGATAAAATCCACAAATATATAAAATACATAAAAGATGAATTTTTTTTACAACTATAATGAAGCATTTTGACATGTATAAAGTTTCAAAAAATAAAATAAAAAAAAAGAATGAAATCACCAGTTAGGTCTTGAATAACCCAAAAACTGATGAGAAGGATGAGTAGATATTGATTATCCAACCAAAATCCTTGTTGATGTTGGTTGCTAATAAATGCTCCTTGAATGCACAAAAGATCGAAGCTAACATTTCCTAATCGGTTTAAATGAAGTGAGAGAAAGTAGAGTGGAGTAAACGAGGAGAAAATATAAGCAATCCCGATTTTAATGGCCTGCTGTCCTTTCCGCAAATTTTGGCTACGCCAAAAGTTGCCTGTGTATCTTGAGCTGAAACCCAACAGTGAGTTCTGCGGCTTTTGCTGCGGCCTAAGCCGTGCGACTACGCGGTTAGCTCACTGTTTCACCTCATAATCTTTTATTCTTCTTGACTATTCATGGGATCCTTCATACCATCACATCACTACATAAAATAAGCTTGATAAGAAAGCATTTAAGGTCCAAAATAAATTCATAACTTTAGAATAAAGTATTTAGAAATTTACAACCGTTACTAAACCAAAAGCTTATGTTGTTATAATTTTGAGGTTTTTTTTCTTGTTTTAGAGATAGAAAAGTATTTAAAAGTTCACTTGTGATGACTCCAGCCCATTCATAGTTACTTAGAAATTAGTAATCATTTAGTGGAAAAGGAAGTGATCGAGCGATGACAACCAGGAGGTGTTTTTAAGGTGTACTTTTGTTTATGTGAGTATGCAAATTTAGGGATCAAACTGAAAGAGAACCCCAAAAAATGAATTGAAGAATTCATTTAAACCATTAGATTGAGATAATCTAACGAATGTGATTAAAATGTAGTTATAACTATCTTTTCTTAATAATACTAATATTTCTCCTTAATTTTTAAAAACCGAAAACCAACAAAAAAAAAGGTTGGAGTGAAACAAATTACACTAAAAAAACGATCACTTCATAATTTTTATTTTGACATCCATTTTTATATGTTTTTTCATGGTTCACTGATGGTTTTTTCCCAAGGTTCTTTCTAGATATTTATTCAAATAATCAAATTCGGGTCATATCAATCAATTTTGAGATTTTGAATAAAGCGATGATGAATATCTATACCATATTGTAAGTTATTTGACAAAAACTCTTAAAAATCAAGTTTTTTGTACGAAGTACTGTTTATTAATGTATATTACTTACAATTTAATATTACAAGTAAATTATACAGAGATACAACTTATTAAAGCTTCATTTTTGAATTATTGTAACTAACTGTAGATAAATATAATCAAATACAAGATATATATCTCATTTTAAATATAAAAACTCTAAAAAATAATTAAAATAATCTTTGACTTCTAACAGAATATTTAATTATTGTATTTATAAAGAATTATATTATTAAACTAAAAATCAACTACTTCATTATTAAATGTAAATTAAATTATAATTTAAAATTGAATTAAACAAGTTATACAAAAAACGAGAATTTTTAAATAGTTAATTTGACACTAATATTAATATACTATTTTTCAAATTTTTATGATATCGTTAAATTTATATTTTATTAAAAAATAAAAACATTATCGTTTTCTCAAATGAAACTGAATTGATCAAATCTAATGACAATCGAGCATCCAATAAAATTGAATTGATCAAATCTAATGACCATCCAATTATCATTTAACTAATAATTATATATAATTACTAACATTGTACGATGTTGTGTTTTAGTTGACATTCATACACAGTGCTTTTTAATAACTTAAGAAAATATATGAATAATTGGTTAAAATGGTGATTACTTGATTGAAAATTAGATCAAAATATTGAATAAATCCAATCTGATCCAATTGATAGAACCAATCAGATTCAATCATCAATTGAATTGGACCAGATGTCCAATGTTAGTTGAACTGGATCATATGACAAATCAAACATCCAATGAATGATTGGTTTGGATCAAATCCACCTAAATCCATTAGATTTCAACCTGTAAACACCCTTTATAACTAACATATAGAGTTAAAAGACGGTGAGGCGAGGTGTAAAGTAAATCAACAATAAACCGTATTTAAAGACAAAAGAGGATTTAAAACAAAACTGGCCTCGTGTTAGATTCAGCGTAATGGACGAGAAGGCTAATATGTAAAGGATATCTAGGAGATTCTTTTAATTAATTAAAAATGATATTATATAAAATATTTGGTAAATGTAAATATTATATGTAATAAAAGATTTTGTAGATAGAATTAAATTAATTAAAAAAGAAAAGAAAAAGAAAGATTGACCGTTGAAAACGGTGCATATGATGATAACAATTGTATAGGTGCAATGCAATAAAGGATCATCTTGATTGATTCTGAAATGATATGGATCTAAATCTTTTTCTACACCTTTAAT